GTGGCTCAACGCTGTTATTAGTGGCTGCTTCCATGACAACGTCTCCTCTCGCTATTGATGGAGGTCTTAATTTAAAAAAAAAAATTAAATTATACGTATCATTATATTAATAATTTATTATAAATAAGCATACTACGTAAGCAGACTCTAACATCTATTAACTTAGACTTAACGGAAGGGATTTATATGCTATGTTTTCTAAAATATATGGATATTTTAAACATGAGTAAACCATAATGATTTTAAGAGATCCATGGTCAAAATCATAGAGGCTAAAATAGACCTTAACCCTAATTACATATGTCATTATATTGATAATTTATTGTGAGTCAGCATACCATGTAAGCAGACTCTAATATATGTTAACTCGGACTTACAATAGGAGCTTATATGCTATGTTTTAAAAAATGTAAGGGTTATTTGAAATACGAGAAAACCATAAGGACTTGAATGGATCTTAACCCTCCCTAAGTTGATAACACATGAACTAAAATGGATCTTAACCCTAAGTCGATCTAGGGTTTTTTTTTTTTTCTTTTGTTTGTGTGTGCGTGAAGGCTGCCGACCAAGTAATTGACTTTATCTCTTTGCAAGAGATAATATCCAAAACTGCCTAACTAAGAAGGGAACACTTGCTGGAGCTAAGTTGGCACTATACGACCAACATGGCAATGTGTGTGTGTGTGTGTGGAGGTTTTCTTATGGCCAACTAATTGACTTATCTCTTGCAAAGAGACATTCAAACTGCCTAACTAAGAAGGGTACGCTTGCCGGAGCTAAGTTGGCACTATATGACCAACATGGCAAGGGGCTTAACTTGGACTACTTTCTCTGCCACCATCATATCATTTTTCATGTTGGCCCAGTCAAACCCAATTAATCGATCAAATCTACACCTTGCACGTTCTTCTTCGTCAAACCATTGTACCGTTGGCAATGCCAATGTTATAGGTATTATTAGGCTTGGACCACCTAACATCTGTGTTCATGCTCTCCTCCATAGGAAATTGGTAAGGTAAGTGAGATAAGTTCTGCTAACAATTACAGATCATGCACTGGCCACACTAATTCAACTTTTACTTCCTCCTCAGCTCCTAATCAGTCGTTCCAAATGGTAAGAGGATAGCACACAGGAGCAGCAAAATGGCTCTGATGATGAACCGTACAGCTAGCCTAATACAGATGGAGCTTTCAAAGAGTAAATTGATGCTACGAACTCTAAAATTGAGGTTGAGATGCATTGGATTGCTAAGTAATATGCGAAAAACGGAGCGGCAAAACCACGTTCCTCTTGACTACGCAAGCGTGCATGCATGGGTACGTGAGGCACCACGAAACGTGGATTTTCTCCGTGGTATGAGCTGCTACGCGACGGCCACGTGAACCGGTCAGATCCCACGGCTGGGCTGCTGCAGGAGACGGCGGAGATGGGTCCACCTCGAGCGCCGGCCAATGAGAGCGTGGAGATGTCGGCCGTGTCGTACGGCCCCGTTACGGAGAACGACGGCGGATGGCGGCGCAGAAAACACACGCGTACGTACGTGCACTCGTCGATTACTATGTCGTTTTGCACGTCCGCATGCAGGGCGTGCGGGGAAAACGTGGAGATGGAGAGAAGGATGTGATGCTTCCGCCCAAATTTGAGTGTTTTTACGTAAGAATACAGGTGATTGTTTTTTTTAAAAAAAATCATGTTTTTATTGTTCTCAAATGATGCCACTATTTTAAATAATATAAAAAATATATCTCATCAATCCAATCAGACTTTTGCTATTAGTTTTAAGGACACCTTATTGATCTGACTCATGAGATGTATCCGTCCGTCCAAGTGGATGGTTATAGTATTTTTAGTTGGCTAATTTATAGTATTTTTTAATAGTATTATAGTAATTTTATTGATGTATTAAAATTATAATAAAATAATTAATAATAATAATAATAATAAATAGCATCATATTTTACCTTTTTAGTTGTTATTGTTTGTAGGCTATTATAATATTATATTTTTAGGTTTATTGTTAGTTTGATTGAGGTTAAATGTCTAATAGGATTATTTACGGTATTTATTTTCATGTAGACTTGCTAATTTTTTTGTTGCGATAGCAAAGATACTATAATAAATCAATTTCGATCGTAGATGCTGTTTCTAAACGATTATAGATACCTATTTGAATCCTAATATGATATATCAAATAGTTTCTAGTGTATTTTGATTTCATTTGACTTTTTCTTCTAACATTATAATATTTTCGTTAAGGTACAAAAAATATTGTAAAATTATTAAAAAAATATTATAGGTGACATTATATTATATCACTTTGGTTACTTATAAGCCATTAGGATATCAAGTTTTTATAGTTGAAGGTAAACTTTATAGTGTTTTTATGATGATGAGGAAGACATTATAACATCCACTTGGACTAGTCCATAGGGCGGCTCTAATGAGGACGAGAATAATACCTTGAAGCTGACGAAATAATGAGCATCATGTGAGAAAAAAACAAAAATAAAAGGATATTTTTAAGAATAAAAAATTTATCAATTTACTGCTATATCTGATTCAATTACATATACTTTCTTTCCAACCCACTATTTAATCTCCATCTCTTCTTGTGATTGCCTTTATCTTCTCACATAATCTCCTCTCTACTCGACATCTTGGCTCACTTGAGGCCACCAACATCATGGCTCCATTAAGGATGTTTATTAGGTCCTTCTCTAACAGTTTAGCAGTGTAAGCTTTTTGGAATTAGTGTTATCTAATTATAGAACTTTGATCGAGTGGGTTGCAACTGTCATAATCGTGACATGATATTTTGGCCATCTTTAAAATAGTTAGTCTTCCTCTCCAAATGTACTTTAAATGGAGCTTTCCTCCAACAAAATCCAAAACTGTTTTCTAACACGAGACCGCTCTAATGAACCCATTAAACCCCCTCCTAATCTGAGTCGTTGCACAGTTGATGAGACAAGTGCTACTTTTGGACACCCACAACCGATGCCTTCACCCAAATGATGAAGCAAAGAGGAAGCGATAAAAGGACACAACCACAAGCAATAAAAGGAAGAGAAGAAGAAAGCAAATTAGAGTTGTTTGGCATCGGCGAGGGGAGGAGAAAGCCTTGGCTGTTGTTACTTGGAGGGAGGATGGGAGGCATATCTTTGGAACATTTTCTACCCCTCGCCTTCGGCATCTTAGGTGATCACCATTTCATTTACGTGTTCATGATGGATGGAAACCGTGCATAACATTTTACTGATACTACGAGATGGAAATTTGCAGGGAACATCATCTCGTTCGTGGTTTATCTGGCGCCAGTGTAAACATCAGCTTCACCCTGTCTTTTCTACTTATTTGCATTTGATCTCACCTGATTCACCTCATGGAGTTGCTTGTCATCGCAGTCCTACGATCTGCAAAATCTACCAGAACAAATCAGCAGAAGGGTACTCATCACTGTCCTACAACCTATCCTTGTTCAGCTGCCTGATTTGGGTCTACTATGCGCATCTCAAACCCAACTCGGTCCTCCTCATCAGCATCAACGCCATCGGATGCATCATTCTGACATGCTACATCACCATCTACCTCGTCTTCGCCACGAGGAAGGATAGGGTTTGTGGATTCTTACGACTGCTTCTTTCGTTTCATTTCGTGTATGCAACTGCAGACTTAGTTACGTGGGGTGGAGTTGCAGATCTCTACCATCCAAGTATTCGTCGCATTGAACCTGGTGACCTTCATCGGGATCCTTTTCCTTACTCTGCTGTTGTTTAGTGGCACTAATCGCTTGACGGTGCTCGGGTGGATCTGCGTCGGCTTCTCCATCAGCGTTTACGCTGCTCCCATGAGCACCATTGTAAGGACGGCTGTCGCCCCAGGTTTTGTCTTCTTTGTACTGATACTCGGAATCAACTCATGTGCAGAGGCGTGTTGTGCGCACGAGGAGCGTGGAGTTTATGCCGGTGAACGTCTTGGTGTGCCTCACGTTGAGCGCAGCCATATGGTTCGGCTACGGTGTGTTCACCAAGGACGCATTCATCTCGGTAATCATCACAAGCACCTAAGTAGGCATGGGACGCAGTGGTGTGTTACTCTTTGGCCTTACTTGTTTGATTACAGATTCCTTGCATTCTGGGAGTCATCTTTGGAATCGGGCAAATAGTGGTGTACGTGATTTACAAGAAGAAGGGGAACGCCGTGGAGCCAGCGGAGCCCGAGCACATCGTCGAGGTGGCAGAGCCGGCCCCAGCCCAGGCTGCGGAGGCGCAGGTCGCCGCGGAAGGGAGCGACCACGAGGACGGCGAGGGCGGCGCCCAGGAGTCGGCTGCGGCGGCCGAGCACATCACCAAGATCGCGGAGCACGTGGCCCAGATCGCGGAACATATCGTGAAGCTCGCGGAGATAACCCCGATGTCCCCGACGCAGGAGGAGAGGAAGGCAGCGGCGGAGGAAGGCGAGAGCAGCGCAGTGGAAACGGTGGTGCCCGAGAACGTTATCGACATCCCGGCTTCTGAGATGAACGGTCGTGACGAGTAGGCCGGCGGGACGGGGATGGCAAACGCACGGACAAGGGAATGACGGAAGGCGAGGAGGCGAACGAGGTTAGCTCAGTAATGAAGACGGAGAGAGCAGTGAAGATGCCGTATTTATATGTATAGGCACCAATTCCACCCTCTCTCTTCACCGGTTCTTCTACGAATGCTCGGCAGAATGAGATGGTAGTATTGTTGAGATGTAGTTTCCAGCACTCTTAAAGCTTGTAATTTCTTTTCCTGCTAAAAGTGATGATGTCTCGACTTCTGTTCGCTCTTAAATATTTTTATATCTTGGAGTTGATTAAGATAAAGCAATCACTACAGACGTCAACAAAGGAAGTCAACCGAAGGAGAGCCGCCATGATGGACGTGTGAACATTTGAATGGAGCTCTCAAAACCACGCTGAATCCTACATCACTCTTCTTCCAAGATGCGGATTCTGATGCTCAAGCAGCAGAGCTTGCAATAAACAAGAGCAATCCATAAAGGAAATCTACGGACCTAAAGCACAGATGCTTACACCACCTTCTTTTTCCATGGCTACTACCTTCTGCCACTCTTCAGCTTTTCGCCCACCTCATGAAGGAGCCACGACGATCTGCCTCAACGGATCAGAGGCGTTGCTGCCGCCAGCGTGCCTGACGAACTCCTCCGGCGTGAACGACTTGCCGTGGCAAGCACACATTATGCTGACCGCCGATTTGTCGTATCGATACAGGTAACCACTGATCGTCCTCCCACTGGGGCCGTCGCCGGTGGTCGACACCCGAGGCATTCCGAGCAACGGCGAGGAGTCGTCGGCGGCGACGACGCCTGTCTTCCATTCACGAGCCACAGCGACGGGCGTGGTCAGGGAAGCCGCGCGCCTGAGCATTTGGCCTGCATTTGAGACTGATGACGATGCAGGCTTGGCCGCTTTTTGAGTGCCTGACTTGCACTTGGAACAGTGACTGCTGACGCTGCTTCCACCTGTAGGATCGCGGAATGCATGTAGCCCAAATTAAAGGTGCAAAGAATGAAAGGTGCTTCTTCTATCCCAGATCAATCAAATTTGGCATATAAATCAACCTCTCACGAAGATCCCAAATCTATACGATTATAGATCGAATCTAACCCAACCCAGAATTACCAAAAAAACAGACAGAGTTGAACGGAAAAAAAAAGAGATTTTTATGGGTCATAGGAAGATCCAGTAAGGGGAAGAAACTCTCATACCTCGAATGAGTCCACTACGGCGATCGTCGACCCCGGACGAGTTGCTCCCCGTTGAATCCATCTTCGGCGCAAGGTTACCGACTTCCAAACCACCATTAGAGGGGCACGTGGTCGCCGCGTGAACAGCGACGCCGCGACAAGCTGCCGGCTGGCACCCATTCCTCTCGAACCGGTGAAATCCGTCGGCCGCAGCCGAGATGGTCGGCGGCCAGTAAGGCATCAGGCACGGGAAACCGAGGCCGTTCGGCACCCCCACGTACTGCACTTGGTGACAGGGGTGCATCACCGGGACCGGTCGATGCCCGAAGGGATTAGAATTAGGATTAGGATTAGGATTAGGATTAGGGTTAGGGTTAGGGTTAGGGTTGGGGGCAACGCAAGGCCTTCGGGTGGCATTGCCTACATCCGTGCCGACGGACCTGCACTGGTCGCCGGAGAACGCGTCGCCATCCCTCACCGCCCGATTCGGTGCCCTAGACTGCACCTTCTGGGCCTCCACCGTGCCGACGATCATTCCATCCTCCGGCATCCGCCACCGCTTGCCGGCGCTATCGGTGCGCCTCAGCTTGGGAACCTTAGGGGTGCTACCGCCGATGGCGAGGCCGAGGGTGAGCTCCACCTCGTCCCCGTCGTCAGCCGCGCCCATCGACTCCATTCAAAACCGGAAAGCGAAAGGTGTCGAAAAGAAAGCTCGATGAGTTCCGACCAGAGAATGGGGCCGCTTAAATAAACCTGTGCTCGACCCTCGGTTGCTTGGCACGTGTCGAGGCGTGAAGAATCAATCGGCTCGCGTGGAGCCACGTGACAATGCGCTCTCAGCAGAACCTGTTCCCTCGCTCTGATAGGAAGACGGCTGCCGGGATCGCCTATGGGAAGACAAACATCGGGACCTCATCGACCATCGACGCGTGTGCGTCGACGGTGCGTGGCGCAAGAGCGATAGATTTTGCGCCGTGTATGGCGTGGCGAGATGGGAAACTTCGGATTTGGCGGTTTGAAGTTCAGGTGGGCTCGTGGCGAGAAGCGAAACGGAGGGACGCTTGAACTCGACACGTGCAGAGGCGATAGCGACACGCGGCGGACTCAGCAGCCAGGTGGATGTCCGGCCGAATCATGGCCGCCGATTCTGGCAAACGGAGGCGCCACGTGAGCGTGGCTGCTGGAACATTGGTTGCACCGTCTTTTGGGCGGGCGTGAAAGGGATACGTGGCGAGGGTCCATTAGAGGAGTCCGAAGAAGAAGGTGCGAGAGAAGGGAGACGAGGATGGGGCCGACATCCACGTGTCGAAGTGAGAGATCGCAGTACCTCCGCAGTTAGTATCCCCACACGTGTATGGGTATGTTAGGGCACGGCGGAAGAACAAAAAAAGATCCATCAACAGGCCACTTAATAGAGTAGAAGCTCACATACCCGTCGTTTGATTGGACCAGAAGGCTCGGATTCCGGTTGGGCCCCACAAAGGAGCAGCCCTGCGGCAGGTAAGACAAGGTCATTTGATCGGAGCTTCTTATCCAATGGGCTTTAACGTTTGGCGTTCTTTGGAAGTCGTCGAACAGTATGATAACTTGTTGAGGACAATTAAATGTTGGCAAATACTAGTAAAGATACAAAGATGCGGTCATGATAATTAAGATAAACACATTGCTTAAGAAACACCTCCAAGAACCACATGGTTCATGGGAGAAAGAAGAAGCATATCATGGGCCGCACTGCCGGAACGCATGTTTACAACAAAGCTAGGTTTCAAGCACACCAACAATGACAATAAAACAAAATGCAGCACATGCACAGCATAGTTTAAGTATCACAACAGTTTGCCTTTTGGAGAACTCTATATAGAGATTATATATGATATGCACTGGGGTAGTAATAATAAGCTATGAGAGCAACGACACAAGTGAGACAAACTCGGATGTCACCCTGCCTTTTGACCTTGTGTTGATGACAAAGTGCTCTGGGTATTTTCTTAGCAGCGTTAGGAGGCCAAACCACGGTCTTCCTTTGGTTTCCGTGGGCGACCACTCCTCCGATGTAAGGTACCTCCTCACTCTGCCATGGTGCCAGACGTTGCCATACTGCTCGACAAGCTGAATGCAATCACAAGAAATCGTCAAATTTTACCCAATCGATCAGATCAGAATCAGGAGGGTAATGATAAAAAGCTGTAAGTAATGCATTCAAGTTTCAACCAGCTGCAGAGTTGGAGGGATATAAATATTTAGATATGGCATTTGGAAGATGATAGATAAAGGAATAAATATACAGGAGAAAAGATCTAAGATCCCAGTCTTCAATTATAGCCAGAAAATATGCTCTTACCTTGACTTTGTTTTGAATGCAGATGACAAGATTGGTGAGCGAATGCTAAAATGCTTATCGTTACACAGCAAATTAGTTTTAAAACATAGTTCCTAAATTCTAGATAGAATATCATTTCCTAATAATAATCATTCTGTATATTACATTGAACATTTACCTGATTTTTTCCTTGCATATATTTAATGAAAATTCTCAGCAGAACTTGGAAACTCCAAGGGAAATTACCAAAACCATAGAAATACCAAAAGTCAGAAGTCGTTAGGCCCAACCAAAACCAGAACAAAGTTCTAAAATCTCACAAATCATGCAGATCAGATGCCAGAAGTCAGGAAGCTCCGACTTTTGTAAATGTGAACTAGAAAACATAAGACTTCGGTATCAGTGTACAACATGCAATGCCATAGCATGCTAGCATAGCAAGATGACTTGGTTAAAATGATTCCAAGTTGTAAATACAGCAAAAAGAATGGCATTACCTAGTAAAAATGGTCAAAGAAAATGTTCCTGAAAGCTTCTTTAGGCTTATAGTTGATAATTCATTAGTCCCATGACCATATTATTTAAGGATTTAAGTTTGAGAAACTATATCTAATTTTAAGAAAAAATTACTAACCTCTGAATGAAGTTTTGCCATAGGCATCCACTCTCCAGGTCCACAAAGATCAGACAGAACTGTGGCTACAGATGAGACAACATCCTTTTCTTCCAACTGCATAAGTTGATGATTATCTGCTTCTCTATCAACCCTTGATCTTGCTTCAGACTTCTTCTCTGGCAAAAGTGAAAAAAGGCATCATTTCACATATATATAAATCACGCTATCCATTCTATCCCGAAAGTGTCTTGCACAGCTTGAGAAATATTAAAGATAAAAGAAGATGAAGAAATGACACTTCATAATTCCATTTCACTTCTATGTATATTAACTGTTAAATCAGTCATCAATCATCAGCTTGGTTTTTTTAGCGCTTTTAGATAGAAGCTTGTTTCATCGTCATATAACATCCATTATTCCTTGGTTGCATAAGTATGAATCATGGCAAACCAGCAAGACTAACTTCCCTACCTATTAAACTAGCCTTCTAAGTCTCCAAACGATCCTAATGCTGAATTAGAAGTTGGATCGCATTCAATAGATTGCTGGAACTACAAGAAAAGTTTGTAAATAGAAATTTGACTATATTGCTAGCACAAACAGTACACTGAGATGTACAAGTACGATAATTTGTCATATCCCGTCTCAGATGACAATTTGTGAACTCTAGTCAACTATTTGGGCATGGATTTTCTCTACAATTCAGCTCTATTTTATTGTTTTTATTAAGTTTTCTTGTGTCTTTCTTTGTCTCACCTTGTGCCAATGAAACTAATCGACTCACTAATCTAACCAAAGCATTTATAGGTCTCCTTTTGAACATGTCTCTACGATCTTAAAACAATATTTCTTTTTTACGTTCTTTGTTCAATAAATAATTCGTATTCTATCTTTTTTTGTTTTAATTCCATATGTCCATTTTAACAAACCTAATTTCAGCAGCTTAACTTTGTACATGCCACTGCATAACAAACAATATTCTAATCCCTAAAAAATAACTGGCCTTACAACTGTCATATATTCCTCTTTTCCCTCTCCGTTTTAAGTTTCTATTCTCTGTAATACATTTATTGGTCTCCCCTTTCTGCTGAATAATAGATCAAAGGTACCTACAAGTTCTGCTGCTAAGAACTTATTAGTTCATTTATTTTATCTATAATCCCAATTCTTCTCCGGCATTGTTAAAGTTACACTTATATTCATTTTCAATCCGGCATTATCCTGGAACCCTTTGCTTATAGCATTTGTCTTCATCGCTCAACGTAATCACAACCAGAATTTCTTCAATCAAGACAATATCAATAACAAATAACATATACACTGAAAATTTATTTTGAATATGGACAATAAGTTCATCCGTTACCAAAGTAAGAAGCACCAAAATAGGAAAAACAAAGCGATTAAATTGACACTAACCTAGAAGAAATGCTTATGTATTTATTACACATAGAACTCCATAACATATGACAGATGATCCTGAATGATGCAGTTGTCAAATAACTCAAAAAAAATATGAATGCCAATATATAAATGTATACAGGAATGAAAGTGTGTAAGTTTAGAACAAGAAGATCAAATTGTGGATTACCAAAAGGTGTGGTAAGGTAGTACAATATCTCATGTTCTTTGTTAAAATGGCCAATCATCTCATTGGATGATTGCACACATCATATCTAATATCCAGCTGCTCATACAGAATTTTCTTTGTTTTGATTGCATTCATTGTTTTATACAATGCAATCAGGCAGCTGTGGACATGATCCAGCTTATCACAAAATATAATGCCCACTGGAACTGCCATAGGCAGTGTAGATAGCTTGATCTTATGGTACTAATACAGCTTCAACAGATTAAATGCATGAAAATGTATCTCAAGTTGAAGTAAAAGGAAAAATCACTATTAACATTTAATATACCTTCCAAAAATATCTACGACATATAATAAGAAAAGCATATGAGTCAAATGGATCCACTTCAATACGACATTTAATTAGACAAAGAAAGAAAAGAAAAAGGTAAACACAAGAGATTGATGATTGATGTATAAGCATGTGGGTTTCTGTTGTCACATTAAATACAAATTCTTTAGATCTCTCAGAAAGGAATTTGTTTCCACATTTCCTTAATTTGACAGGGTACAACTTTCTAATTCTAACTACTCAATTAATATACCTAAAAGTAGCACAAACTGGTTATAAGAATCTGTCTGTAGTAAAAGGCCATAAAAAAGTACACTTTTGTAGTATGTACTATGTGTAAACTACAGGTTTACAATTAAAACAGAGGTTCGTATAAATCTTCACAAGAAAAGATTAAGGCAAAAGTTTAAAGGTTTCAGACATCATGTTGGTGCTTATATTTTACTGGTTTTATAAATTCTCTCCTCATCTTGACCTCTTTGTCTTTCTGCTTTTAACTTCTTTCTTCCTTGGTCCTAAATCTTATATTTCAAGTATTAAAAGCATCCTCAATATTTTGGCAAATTTTGTCATAAAAATGATAAACTTTCCTAAGAAGAATATTTCTCCTCCTGGTGGACAAGTTGTCTCAAAGAAAGAGGTGGGGCAAGGATTTAGCTACCATGTATCACCCCAGCTAGTGTATTGTAAGTACTAGGTGTCATGCCGGTGTGCAGGTTTGAATGTATAGAAAAAACGTAGAATTATATCATC